AGAGACAATTTCAACCGAGAAGATGGATTCTGGCTTAGTAACCATTGGAAAGATGTTTTAAACCATTTCCATTCTTAATTAATTGTATTTTACGATGACCTTCAGACCGCAGCTCTTTCGCTGGCATTGACTCTTAAAACCTCTCACACCACGGTTAATGGTATGGTTTACAACATGGAGTATAACAGCGCCTCGCAGCTGTCTCTCTCCCCCTCCTCTGTTCCGAATTATTTCAATGCTAAATTCTCCTAGTTATTTCAATGTTAAATTCTCCTGTTTGATTTGTATTAGGTGCCTCTGTGAATGTGTATGCTCTGACTTTAACATAGCTATTTCTGTGACCAGTCACAAGCTAATCACTCAGCTATTTCAATGCTAAATTCTATGCTAATTCCTTTGTTAAGGGGTGCCTCTGTGGATGTGTATGTTTTAACTTTAACATAGCCATTTCTGTGACCAGTCACAAGCTAATCACTCAGCTATTTCAATGCTAAATTCTATGCTAATTCCTTTGTCAAGGCGCTTTGTTTCTTCTCACACAGCTTAAAGGTCGCGATCTGAGCGTGGCTTTTTCACTCCAGCGCTGTCCTCCAGACAGTCTCGTCCCTTCACCTGATGAAGGCTGCTTGTGTTGTGGCCGAAACGTCGTGAGAATTTTATTGTGTTATTTTATTTTATCAATTTATTATTTTATTCTCATTCTACGTGACTTTACCGAAAGAACCAAAGAAGGTCGTACAAATTTCGATTTAAAGCTTTCGTGACTGCAAGGATTCATCTTCTTTGGTTCTTTCGGTAAAGTCACGTAGAATGAGAATAAAATAATAAATTGATAAAATAAAATAACACAATACAATTCTCACGACGTTTCGGCCACAACACAAGCGGCCTTCATCAGGTGAAGGGACGAGACTGTCTGGAGGACAGCGCTGGAGCGAAAAAGCCACGCTCAGATCGCGACCTTTAAGCTGTGTGAGAAGAAACAAAGCGCCTTGGCAAAGGAATTAGCATAGAATTTAGCATTGAAATAGCTGAGTGATTAGCTTGTGACTGGTCACATAAATGGCTATGTTAAAGCTAAAGCATACACATCTGCAGAGGCACCCCTTGACAAAGGAATTAGCATAGAATTTAGCATTGAAATAGCTGAGTGATTAGCTTGTAACTGGTCACAGAAATAGCTATGTTAAAGTCAGAGCATACACATTCACAGAGGCACCTAGTACAAATCAAACAGGAGAATTTAGCATTGAAATAACTAGGCGAATTTAGCATTAAAATAACTGAGTGATTAGCTTGTGACTGGTCACAGAAATGGCTATGTTGAAGTCAAGGCCTACACATCTGAGCTATTCACAGTAACTGGGTATACACTACAATATATAATGAATACTACATAGTGAACCAATAAAAAACTAAAATATAAATTACCTCAATGTTATCAATAAACTCTATATATTCTCCAATCAGCTAAGCTACCAACAATAAGTCGTTATACATCACAATGCTATATGACGAAAAAATGGGTGGATTCTTACCCTCAACTTTAGCAACACGAATAGCTACGGGCCCCGTTCAGACGGACGAGTTCATCCATGGTCGGAACAGAGGAGGGGGAGAGAGACAGCTGCGAGGCGCTGTTATACTCCATGTTGTAAACCATACCATTAACCGTGGTGTGAGAGGTATTAAGAGTCAATGCTGGCGAAAGAGCTGCGGTCTAAAGGTCATCGTAAAATACAATTAATTAAGAACGGAAATGGTTTAAAACATCTTTCCAATGGTTACTAAGCCATTCTACGTGACTTTACCGAAAGAACCAAAGAAGAAAAAGGTGGTACAACTTGTCGCAATGCACTCCTGTAACCAGTGGCTTGGGAGATGGGGTTGGTGGATCGCAGTGTGCATGAGCTTGTATAAGGTGGTGCAGCAAGTAGATTCTTGGTTGTTTTATAGGTCTATCGAGTTTGAATGTTCTCCTTTTGTACGTGTGGATAATCCAAGCACTCCAGTTTCCAACCACACACACATTCACAAAAAAAACATTGTGGAAATGGCAAAAATCCCTAGTCAGTATCCTCCTCCTATTCTCCTATTCCCAAGCAACGAATACGCACGTAACCTGGCCAGTTAGCCAGGATATAGCTTACGTCGATGTGCATTGTAACGCGCGATCGGCACGCCGGGATTTTATTTGAATGTCCGCTCGCGAAGAGGCGTGTGCAATTCGAATTTAATATAACCACCGCTGTAAATGGAGGCGAAACGCTCATCGAGGTATTCCTGGGTGAAGATTTCGTCGTTCCGTAAGGGGGTTTTTTGGGGTTAGATAAACGCGTCGTTAAACCCGCGACCACCCGACAGCCAATAAGTAAGGTTTGTCACGTAAACAAAACATGCCAATTAGCTACTAGTTCAGCACACCTGTGTGTTGGAGAGTAAACCCACGACATTTACAATTGAAGTACCCTGACGTTTCACCAGTAAATTACAAGCAGCATCATCAGGCAGCAGCCAGAAATGAATCGCTTCACATGGGGGTAGCTGTGCAGCCGTGGCTGGGCTGAAGCCATTACATTTATTGTCCCCAAGAACCCATTCACCCCGAGTGATGACCTTGTGCGCGAACCCTGCCAAAAGATGAAAACAAAGATCCCCGTGTAGCCTTAACTGTTAGGGCAAGTGCTGTTAGCGAACACTAATGAAGGCCGGCACGATACACAAGGGGTGGTTGGCCAACACCGTGCCCGGCTGCCTTTGTCTCCCTAGTGACGATGTTGACACACTGTACCAGTTACTCATTTGATGCCGAGTCGACCTAGGGGAGGCCCGGGACGAATTCAGATAATCGCCATGAGTGGGAATCGAACTCGTAGTGCAGCGCACTAACCGCTACACTACCGCTCCCCTGACCTTGTGTGCAAACCCTGCCACACACGCATGCACACGGCAGCCTAAACCCTAATTTGACATCAACCCATCATATTAATTGCTCACACATCAGGGAGCGATGACAAGTCTAAGAAAAATATAATTGGGGTGATCAAAATGACACCGTGTAGCACTTATGTGTAACAGATGCCTTTAGCTTATATAGACATACTGCATTTCTTAATCATATAAATTACACCATTCAGATTTCATTATCGATTTGATCCCAGTTCTAGGTGACAGATTGGAGAAACACAGGCTTGCCCGTCGTGGGTTCCAACTTAATGTCCTTTGTCCGTGTAACACGTAGAGTCGAATTAACACTCACGACGCACCACATCGTCTGCACGAGGATCCAACGCTTGCCATCGCTGCAAGTTTGTAGGCACGCAACGGTGATGCTCGATTTGGAGCGCGTTTCTACAAACGGCACAGATGAGACGTATGTATGTTGAACATCTTTCGCACCGTACATAGTGAACCGTGATAATCCGAGGTGTGGGGTAAAAACAAACAAAGCAACAAAATAGAAGTTTTCAATCTAGATTATTTAAAAGTATATAGCTCCAGCGGCTTCCTAATATCGGAGGAGCATTCCAGACAGCTGGAGTAACGCAAGACGGCGAAAAGAGGACCAGAAAGAAGACTCTTGAACTGAATCATGACCCCAAATTGTGAATTGTTCGGAAGAGCTCATTTGAGATATCTCCAGATCCATCGTCCCCGTGCTGTACATCTCACTGTCTGCATCTCGTTCTGCGATAAGAGCCGCAGCTTGACATGCAGTATCTCCTTTCTCAAATGAGTGTCCGGGCGATGCTCACTTCTGCTGGTAGCTCAGAGCCCGTGGTGGAAATTCCTCATTCCTATAATCGGGGTTGGCCTCTCTGTCGAACCAACACTTATTGAATTCTCATAGTGGTAAAAATGCTATGCACCCAGAAGGATGATTGGCTGCCATGACAGCCAACAGGGATTTCAACTCGTGACAACCCCATTGCGAGTCAAATTCTTTGCCACAAACCTGACCAGACAATGCCACACAAAAACTCGCTCACACACACAAGACAATGAAACTTAGCACATCACTCCCGAGTGTGGCAACGTGTTGCTTAGTCATTACCATCGGCAAAAAACGAACGCGTGGGCTCCCTCACGTAACCCGGACGCGTCAGCGCTCCAGAAACGATGACACACGCCGCAAAGAAATAACCACGCTAAACACAAGCTCCTGTTACCCTCCCCCTCGACCATGAAACACGCTCCTCACAAAACACAACCAGCACTGGAGGAACCCGATCCGTTTCTCCGCGCTCTCTACTCCGTTGGCGATTTTGCAAAGCGCGTAGAGGTCACCGCAGAGACAAACGCGAGTTAATTATTCGAGTGGCCGCTGTTTTTTTTGCATGCCGCTTGCGTCCAGTGGTGTTGGATATTGACTGGGCAAGGGCAAAATCCCGGCAAGGACTACGGTTGGCCGGAAAGAATTGCACAGTTGGGCAAAACAGGTGGAAGGTGTTTCAGCATTTGGGTCGTGTAGAGGAGCCACTTTTCCAGGATCGAGCGCAACAAATGGGATGCGCATTTTCAGATGCGCTGCTTCTGCGGCCGTCTGGAGTGCTCTTCCTTCCGATACTAGGAAGCCACTGGGAGCTATGCACTTTTACATCTAGAATGTTTATTTCAGTAGAGACAAAACAAGCCGCTGTGTGGGGGCCCGTGTTGTGTAGAGGGGGGGCGTTTTGTGTGGGGGGGCCCGTGTTGTGTGGGGGGGGTGTGTTATGTGGGGGGGCCCGTGTTGTGTGGGGGGGGGGGCCGTGTTGTGTGGGGGGGGGCCGTGTTATGTGGGGGGGGGGGGGGTGTGTTGTGGGGGGGCCCGTGTTGTGTGGGGGGGGCGTGTTATATGGGGGAGCCCGTGTTATGTGGGGGGGGGGTGTGTTGTGGGGGGGCCCGTGTTGTGCGGGGGGGCCCGTGTTGCGTGGAGCCTGGGGAAAATGGCTCGGCCCAGGCCTGAATGGACAGTGATCAGGATACTTAAATGGCCGTGACGGAGAACAGGTGAGACACAATTGGACAAGCAAATTTATTTATTCTTTTTGCAAAGACGACAAACAACAAACAGCTGCGATCATTAAATGGCTCGACACCGACAGCGCGCGTTACTATAATTTACACACATATGTTTATTCGCTTAAGCTTTCATTAATTAGCTGCATCACTTTTCGACATTTGTAGACACCTTTTCTGGTTCCTTGTGCGTGTCCCAGCGTGTGTCCTGCCCGGGTGTAAACGGTCGGTGTTCTCTGTGGACAAACTGAAGGGTGGCGGCGCTCTTACTGCGGAGTATCCGACTCCACGGACAGAATCCGGTCCAGATTCCTGCATCCTAAGCAGCCGCTGTCACCGCGTGAGTGTGTGCGAGCATCTCCGGAGAATTACGACAAAGATACAGAAGCGCACAGAGAGAGATACAAACACACAGACACGACAAAGCACGCACACGCACATAGATACAAACACAAGCACGTATATGCAGATACACACACAAATACACAAATACAGACATGAAAAATCACGCACGTAGATACAACTACACATGCAAATACAGATACATACACACAGATACAGACATGACAAGGCATGCACACACACACATAAAAATACACACACGTATATACAAATACACACACACACACAAATATAAAGACATACACAAATAGACACAGATACAGACATGGCAACGCACCACACGTAGATACGGCATTAACAAAGGTCAAAATCAATAATCTCCTGCACAGCCTTGAACAAACAATTTGGGGAAAGTGCTATTAGCGAGCACATACGAAGGCTAGAATAGTGCACGAGTTGGTGTAACCTCATTATGCCTTTGGCTCCCCAGTGCTTGTGTTTCCACACTGCACCAGGTACTCATTTATGGTCGAGTCGACCTAGGGGACGTCGAAAACCGGTTTCGACATCACTCGCCGCTGCTAATAGCCATGGCTGACTTGGGTGCCAGCCTTTACGCAGTGCTCACACACACACACGTACAGATCTACACACATACCAACACAGAGTGGGAGTCTCCATGTTGTTGTACAGACTGTTGAGGCCGGTGTTGCGAGCGTGTACATTACTAAGGCCGGCATGGCACGCAGGTGGACAGTGAGGCCAGAGCAATGCGCACCTGACCACCCATAAAGCACACCCTGGAATTGGGTAGAGCTAATTTTACACAGAGTTGACCTAGTGGAGGTCCGCGTGGGGATTAAAACTCACTTGACCACCGGAGTTAATGTGCACCATGGGCAAGGAATTGAACCCAGGTTACTAGGATATCGGTGCGGTGCGCGAATCTATACAACACCAAGGCCTGCATACACACAAACATAGTCACAAAGACGCGCGCACACACACGGAGGTAGCCGGTTGCCTCAGAGAGCCGGACCGCAGTGGAGCGACTACACCACTGGAGCCCCCTTCTATTGTCCACCCTCGATCACCAGCTTGTTGACCGAGTACAGATTGCCCACCACCACCTGCACGCGCACACACATGCACACACGCACGCACACATCTCCCATGTAGCTTACATAGATTGTTGGGACAAGTGCAGTTAGTGAGCACCTATTGAAGCCGTAATGACACATGTAGGGGGGGGGGTGGTCAACAACACGCCCAAGGCCGCCTTTGTCTCTCCAATGCTGATGTTTACACACTGCAATGGGTACTCATTTAAGGCTGAGATGACCGTGGGGAGGGCCCAGGACCAGTTCAGATATTCACCACTGTTATTAACCTTGAGCAAGAATCAAATTAGATTCGCCGCGTCTGTAGAGAGTGCTCTAACCACTACACTACCGCCTCCCCACAAAGACAAAGATCCCCCGTGTAGCCTTTAACAGGAATGTTGGGGCCCAGTATTGTTATCGAGAACCCATGAAGGCCAGCGCCACGCATGAGGGGAAGGTGTGGTTAACAGCACAGACATGCATCTGGCCGCCTTTGCCCCCCCCTCCCCCCCAGGTGCTGACATCTAGATCACGCATCCCGCCAGCGAGTGAGGCATCACGGAGCCAGGCTGGCTGCTCACCGGGTGAGCCTCACTGGCGACGCAGGTGAGCACGTGACCCCACCCCCACGCTTGGCGAATGAGCACGCGGACGACAAGACCCCCCCCCCGCCACACGCGCGGTAATGGTTTGGTCCGTATTCAGGTGCCCCGCACCGTATCACCATTCAAGGAGCCTTCAGCCAATGTCACCGACTACTCCAGCTCCACGTGCCACGTCCCCCCTAGCGTGCCACAACACACACAGACTCACAAGCCCCGCCTTGCCGTGGGCACCCGCCGCCCTGCCACTCATCACCGCCAATGCATTCAGGGTTGGCCACACGGGCGCCATTTGGGGAGCCACGGTGGTGAGATGTTGACTACCTCGCCTGGCATACAGGAGTTCGTGGGTTCGATCCCTTCTCTCTCCCCGTGGTCGCGTGGATTTTTCTCCGGGTCCCCCAGTTTTTCCCTTCAGATTTAGAATAAACATCAGCCGTTTATAATATTTCGTTGCTATATATTTCCACGTGATAAGCCACTTCGTTGGGCTATCATTTATGATGGCCAGGTCGCTTCTAAAAAGAGCTATGTAGCTCAGTGGGCCTTACCTGGTGAAATAATTATTTACTTATTTATCGTTTAGTTTAAAGCCGGCTCCACTCAGCTCCCGCGCTTTGCGATAACCCCTCGTGACCTCGGGGTGGGCGTCAGTAGTGGCCGGGTGGCTCAAGGGGCTCAGAGAAAATGAGCCGAGGGTTCGAAGCCCGAGTTCAGCCACCTCCACCCACCATGGTTAAACTGGGCTTCTGCGTGCCGAGAACTAATGGACGCCAATGGCAACGCGCGTCTTAATACCAGAATTTTATAATCAAGCCAATTGGTTTCAAACCCCCCTGTCCACAGGGCATTTTAACAGGGGACGTTAATGTTCATTATTGGACCCCCTAATCCACCAAGTGGAGGAGGTGGGGTCAGGGGGGTGGGGGGGATGGAATCCTCGACAAAATCTCCTGCGGAACCATTTCCGAACCCAGGGCTGCACTGCCGCCACTGATTGCTAGTCCCGCGACACGAAAGCAAGGGGGGGGGGGACACTATTTGGAACACGTGTGGGGAGGGGGGGGCGGTACATTTATTTTTGCCAAGATGCAAACGAAGAACCACGTCGAGCAACGAGCACCAGCGTGACGCGGAGAGCGTTTTAACCCGATTAGCACGGCGTGGCTACGTACGGTGCGAAAGAGGTTCAACGTTCATACACACATTAACGACAACATGCACACGTACATTAATGAAGACATGCACATGTACGTTAACAACATGCACACGTACATTAACAACAATATGCACACGTACATTAACAACAACATGCACACGTACATTAACGAAGACATGCACACGTACATTCAAGGCGGTGGGTCACCGTCTCACCGAGAGATGACCCCCCCCACCCTTGGAAGGAAGCGTCTCTACGAGGGCCCTAAAATGCGGAGCTAAAAATAGCTCCCCCCGCGGGGAGTCGTCGGCACGCGGCACACGTGACGGCGTTTACAAACGTGGCCTGGGTGGGGGGCGCCGGGGGGGGCCTCTCGCATCACTCACCGCTGTCGCGGGTCACTAATGCGGAACACGGCACACGTGCCGACACTCGCGAGGCAAAATCTAGAGCCGCAGTGAAGCCCACCCAGCGAGAGTTCCGGCATTGCGAGTCGCCGTCTGCCCACAGTGCCCGCGCTCTTTAAGACACTACAGCCCCCCTGCCATAGCAGTGTGGAATTCCAGCAATGGCTCTAGACTGCCAATGGAGCTCGATGAGAGTTGTGTCCCGTTGCTCATTTTGAGCGGGGAGACGCGTGTGACGTCAGGTTCAGTCGAAGTTCTCTCCTCTCTGTGTCTCAGTGGATACTCTTCCCCCACGAGTGTCTCCGTAATGGACCGCGTCTGTTCATTGCTCTCAGGAGACAATTTTCTCCCTGCACTGTGGTTCGAGTGATGACGCCAAGGGGCGGCCTGGTTGGAGAGGCGCGGTACACAGTGCCAGTCCACTCTCGTGCAGCACCACTGCCCGCTGCGCATCTGCCCATTGGCACCACGTTCCTATCTAAAACTAACTCAACTATTTTTTATTTTACCAAGGCAAGACCCACTGAGCTGTATTCCTCTTTTTCAGAAGCGACCTGGCCACAATTGATAGCTCAGAGAAGTGGCTAATCATCATGTGGAAATTTATAGCAGCCAAATACTCTAGAGCAGGGGCGTCCAAACTTTTTTTCCCGAGGGCCACATACAGAAAAATATACGAAGGACTGGGCCACTCACTAGACGTGAGGTATACTGCCTCACTTCTCATGCACTAATATTGGCAAAATCAATCAAATGCAGGTAAATTACGTTTGATAATTGAACATGTTTAAAGAAAAAAAGCCTCCATCATAGCTCTCCATTAGTAGATTTTCATTTATTTTTTTACAAAAAAGTTGCAGGTCATTCTCTCAGTGACAGCCTCAGATTGTCCTGTATGAAGGGAGAGACAAGAAGAGAAATAGGGGATGTGGATATTTCAAGCTTATTACACAAATCAATTATTGGGCTTGTTAACACATCAACTATCGTTTGCTAAAAAAATGTCATCAACTTTAATTGACTGAATTTATTAAGTAATTGGGCTTATTAACAAATGAAAACTGCCTGTATATTTTAACTTACCTTTAATGGGAAGAATGTTGCGCTCAGTGGGAGCAGTGATGCTGCGCTTTGGTCTGAAGGATAGCTGGCAGGTCAGGAGTAAGTTTGGTGGTTGAGATGCGAAGGACGTCACGGAGATGGCTGTTGGTCGTTCTGGTTCTCAGTCTGCTTTTGTTCAGCGTTAACAGAGAGAATGTCTGCTGACAGATGTATGTTGAGCCGAACAGACTCATCATTCGTTTTGCGTGGCGTCTCATCAGAGGAAACTTGGCCTTTTCCAAGCTCCGGTAGAAGTCAGGTAGGGAGAGAAGCTAATGCTGATTCTTCAGAGAATCATCACACTGAATTTCGATCAGTTCTAATTGCAGACTCTCCTCCACTTCTTTTGCATCCATTGAAAACGGAGCCGCAAACAGTGTGATTTCCTTCTCAATGACAGAAAAATCTTGGAAGCGCTGACTGAATTCTGTCATGAGAGATGTGATCACAGACACATTCTCCCATTTTTGCAGAGAGCTTGGCATTTGGAAATGCGCATTTGATTTCGGTCAGCGTGGGGAAGTGCGCTACATTGAAGTTGCGCAGTTGTGACTCAAAGAGACGGAGCTTCGCACGGAATGCTTTCATGTGCGCATACAGCTGTGGTACCAGCTGCCTTGTAGTCTCTTGTTCAGGGTGTTGAGATGATCAGTGAGATCAACTAAAAAAGCCAGGTCTGCCAACCATAAAGGGTCACTGATCTCATGGAGAGGTCTGCCCTTTTCTTTCAAAAACTTGTCGATATTTGATCTCAGGGAATAAAACCGCTGCAGCACGGAGCCGCGACTGAGCCAGCGCACTTCAGAATGGAAGAGTAGGTCCCCGTATTCAGCATCGACATTAGAAAGGAATGCTTGAAATTCTCTGTGGTAAAGCCCTCGTGCCCGAATTATGTTGACAGTTTTCACAACTGTGTTCATCACATCGCCAAGCTGGATTATCTTGGCACAGAGGGCTTCTTGGTGGATGATACAGTCCATTTTGACAGCCTCACCTCCGCTCTTCCGCACCTTGGCACTCACCATAGAGGCCATTCCTTTGCGCCCGCCTGTCATTGCTGGAGCCCCATCCGTTGTAATTCCACATAACTTGTCCCATTTAAGTCCAGCCTGGTCAATTGCATCTGACACAGCTTCAAACATGTCCTTCCCAGTTGTTGTCCCCTTTAGACTCCGAAGATCGAGCAGTTCCTCCGTAATGCAAAAATTATCAACTCCCCACAAAAAAATTAACAGCTGTGCAGTGTCCGTGGCATCTGTGCTCTCATCACATTCAATCGAGTAAAAATTGAAAGCACAAGCTTTATCTGACACTTGCTGTTTTAAGTTAGCCGACAAGTCTTCAATTCGCCGCACAAACGTATTTCTGGACATACTAACATCATTGAAATCTTGCATTTTCTCCGGGCACATTATTCCCACGACTTTAGTGAGGCACTGTTTGATGAAGTCACCGTCTGAGAAAGGTTTCCCGTGTAGGGCAATGAGTTGAGTTACTTCATAACTGGCTATTGTTGCATTTTCTTGAGCTTTGTTAGCAGGAAAAAAACCTGCTGCTGCATTAGCAGGCTAGCTGCCATTTGCTTTACCTTCTTCTGCTCGGCGCCAGTGTAGGACGTGAAGGTCTGATGTTTCGTTTCATAATGCCGTCGTACATTGTACTCTTTAATCACGGCAATACTCTCATTACAAATCAAACAAACACACTTTCCCTTGGTTTATATGAAAAAATATTGATTTTTCCACCGAGTCTGAAATT